TTTTTTTGGGGGGGGGGAGTCATCTTTTAGCCTTTAATGTCTTTAATGCTTTTTTACTTTTATCTGCCATCCCTGTAAAATATTCCAGGCTCAGTTTGCGCAGTCTCTGCTTCACCCCAAGACCCAGCTATTTCTCCCAGGACCCCCAAACCTGGAGAACAAAAATAGCACCAGACGTCTGGGTGCTTGGACCCATTGCTCCTGGGACATTCTGGCCGCTACGGGCGTCTCTCAGCTGAAAGTGAGAACGTGGGGTGTCACCTACCCTGTGTGTGCACAAATCTAATCCCCACACGTAAGTCGTGTGAGTGTCCAGTCACATCTCCGCTGAACCAGCACTGCATCCTTGGCTCCACCTCCCCTTGTTTGTCCCTCAATGATGCGGTTTCAGTGGGAACCGTCCCCGACAAGCCCGTGGGTTTGAACACATGGTCTCCAGCTGATGGTGCTGTCTGGGGCAAGGGTAGAATGTTCACGTTGTGGGGGATGATTATGGAGACAGATTGCTGGGGGTGGAACTTGAAAGGTATACCCTTCCTGCTCCAGCCACTATGGAGCCACGGTGAAGCCGCTCCAGCATGGCCCCGCTGCCCTCTACTGGTTCAGCATCCACAGCTCTGTGCTGCCCTTCTATGACACAGGCTAACCCTGCACACTGGGAGTCCCTGCAGTCCTGTGGACAGTAAGATTGTTCACGATGCTAGAATGTTCTGAAGTTTGCCAAGTGTCCTCTGACCCTGGATGGCCCAGAATAATTTTACTACCCTATAAAAGACTCCTTAGTTTCACCAACTCTGCCTTCCTTCCAGCAGAGCCCCAAGCACACGAATGGAGTTCCTCAATGGGGGCTTCTCCTTGATTTTACCATCACGATGCATTTAGGACGTTTCCACGTGTGTCTGGGACTAGGCAGCCCCACCCCCGCCAGTTTATTACTGAGCAGCAGGCCTGGTATGAGTGCATAATCAAAGGACATCTTGATCACTTCCAGCGTGGAGTGATTAGGGAAAGGTGTTATTAATGTTCCCTTGCGGGGTTTGGGGTGGATGTAAGTTTTCAGACCTGTAGGGCGCATGCCTTGGATGGTGACTGTTGGGTGACGGGTCTGATACTGTGAGCCCTATGAGACCCACACTATAAAGTCAACTCCTGACATCCCAGGTGCTGAGAGATGAGGGAGCTTTGTCCTCTGGGTCAGCTGCCTGGAGCATCACCTTCTGTCTTCCTGTTGTCAGCAGCTGTCAGTGTGTGGTCCAGCTTGTCTTGGGGGCAGTGGGTCTGGAAGTCAGGTGTGGGGCTCGAGTCTATCTCAGGGAAAGCAGACAATGCTTTCCTGCCTTCAGCTTCCCATGTGTGGGCAGTGTTAGGACTGCCACAGTTACTGTGTTCTAAAGGCTCAGGAGGGCCACACAGCGTGAACTCTGACCAAAGAGTAGGGGAGCATCCTCACAAGGATGGTTAGCCCACAGTTCAGGCTAGAAATTAATTGTCCAGGGGAGAAGGTCACTACTCTGGGTCAGCTGAGCAGGCCTCGGCTCCCAGGTAGGTGCTCTGGGGTGAGAGCAGGCTCAGGCCTGCCATAGAGGACCTCACAGCTGTGGGGGTGGAGCTACACAATCAGGGCCTGCAGCCTCAAGCTGACTCTGCTCAGAGAAAAACCTGGAAGGAGAGCCAGCTGAGAGGCCCTTGGGTGGGCCTCACCTTCCTTCTGTTGCTGCAGGCCTGGTGTGTGTGTGTGGTACACGCTCCAGATTCCCAAGATGCATCTGGAGCCTCACTTCCTTTTGTTGCTGCAGGCCTGGTGTGTATGTGTGCGTATTACACACTCTAGATTCCCAAGATGCATCTGAGGGTTCAGAAAGAAGAGAGGCTGCTGCATCCATCCAGAGGTTTCCCATAGTCCCACTTGCTGCAGCTATCAGCAAGCAGGTTTTGAAAAGGCTTGGATGGAAAGACTAAAGTGCCCCCAGAACAGGTCCTGGGCCTACGAAATGTCAGATGGATGGCCAATAGCTGGGGAGATGGAAAGATGGATGGACAGATGTGTGGATGGGTGAGTGGACATATGGGAGAGTAGAAGGATAAATGGGCAGAAGGTGAGTAAGCGGCTGTACAGACAGAAGGACAGATGCACGGGAAGGTAGAGGGAAGGATGCATGAAATGAATGAGAGAAAGAAGAGATAGGGGAAGAGAAGTGAGGGGAGGATGAGGAGGGAAAGGTGAGTGAAAGCTAGAGGGAGGGATAGAAGGGGAAGAAGAGGGAGGGAAAGGGGAAGGAAGGGATGGGTAGAGAGGGGAGCTGTCAAGCTTCTCCACAGTCCCCAAGTTTTCCCTCAGGCAGCTCTTAGATTTCCAAGACTCGCTGTTCACCTTTGAGGGTGCCATGGTGCCTCATCTTCAGGATCCTTCTCCCAGCAGGAGAGCAATGGTGTCCTCTCCTGAGACCTGGCCCACAGCCCTAATCTCCAAGATCTCAAGACTGGTATCTGAGTCCAATCTGCCCCAACTCCAGTGCCAGCTTCAGAGCCTTCTCTAGCAGGAGAGCAAGTGGTAGCTGAAGACCATCTTCCAGGTGACCAGGACCCAGGGCATGGGGACCCTGTCCATATCAGAGCTAAAGAAATAGGTCCAAGATGGGCCACGCTGCCAATCAAGCACTGATCCACGGTGAGCACACAGCCCGCTCGCCGGCATCCTGTTGAACACTGCAGATGCTACAAGCCTGCCAAACCCTGCTCTTGTCTGTATGGTGAACTGTCTGCCTCAGGACCAGCTAGCGCCCAGAGAATTCTCATAATGGGGGGTGGGGGTAGAGTGTGCATTGCATAGCACAAGGCCCTAGGAGGACCAGAGGGCCCTGGAGGGAGTCAGCCTTATCCAGACATTTCCAGCAGGGGGCAGTGCTGCCTCACATTTGTGAACTAGTCACGAAGCTGTCAGTCCTGGGCCACCCAGCATATCCTCAGCAAACTCCGGCTTTTAATCCACCTTGGCATAGCCTCCAGGCAGACTCTTTGCCCTCGGGGGTTCTTCAGGAACTGGCAGACTAAGTCCTCAGCTGTGCCTCTCAGAGCCTCTCCTGGCGTTTCTCTAGGGCTCTCCATTAAATAACCACCCACTCCTTCATTCTCTAAACTGAGGGGACAGTCACCAGGACACACTCCCCTCTGGGAATCTCCACATGTCCTCTGGCTCCCTCGCTGCTCTGATCCCTGCCTGCCCAGCTTTTCCAATACCTTAGCACTGCTGTAGTCCTCAGGCCTGGAGACAAGGCTAGCCCCATTTGCTCCAAGATGTGTCACCACTACCACCACTCTTTTTTGCCACTATTGCTTGCTGATGGGAAAGTCTGTTCTTTCCTGTCCCTTGGCTCCTGGTACCATGCACAGAAGCAGAGAAAGAATAGGGGCTTGGTGATAGCCCAACCAAACATCATGTGTCCCCAGACCTGAGGCCCTGCCCCCACTCTGGCCTCTCATGTTACACAGGCCTAGAGGCTGGCTCAGCTTGCCACTGCCTGATTCTGCTGCTGATAAACTTATCAAGCCAGGCATCTCTGGTCCAGAGGGACTGCCCTGAGCAGGCATTGCCATGGCAACCAGAGGCAGGAAGGAGGCCTTACACCAGGTTGCCAAGTGATGCCGGCAGGCAGCCTGGGTCTGTTCAGGTGGCAGTCCATTCTTCAGTACTGTGGTCAGTCCCGTGTACCACCCCAGGGAGACCTGAGCTAGGGCCAATCCTGCGCCACCTGGACTCATCTGCCTCATCCCGCCACCCACTGGTCACCAAGGGTCCCGAGAACTGTCCCTTCTGCAGGTGTGTTGCCTTTACCAACTGTCACCTTGCTCCCTGCCCCAACCTGAAGCCTCTTGCAGGGTCCCTTGTCCTTTCTGAGGACAGACTTCTGGGGAAAGGTATGGCCAACAGAGACTGACCCCACTTCTAATCTGTCATGAGGTCAGTAAAGAGAGTGTATGAAGCTAAGACAAGTTCCCACTTCTCAGAGGCCAAAGAATGGGCCAGCATGAGCCTTGGGCACATGAATTTATCACAGAGGACAGGAGTGGGCTGGTAGAAGGGTTGTACTGGCCCTAGGCATCATATGGGCAGCTCAGTGGTTCAGGGACCCTCCAGGTCCCCTACCTCTAGACTGCCAAAGGTTCTTGTTGCTCCTGGGGATGGCACTGGCTCTACCACGGGGAAGACCTGGCTCAGGACAAAGTCTCTCTAGCCAGCAGCACCTCCCAGTCAAGAGGAAAGTGCATCTTGCAAGGTCTTGCTGACCCATTAGGGACCTGGGGGAGGCTTCTTCTGGGGACAGCAGCTTTTGTTCGCATGCCTGAGGAAGTGGGAACAGCACTATGAAGGTCTTAAATCCCAGCATGCTGGGCCCAGCTTCCCACTGCCCTCCACAGTCAAGTGGGAAGTATTTGGGGTGTTGAAGCACGAGTATGGGAAAGGGTACGCTTGATGGTGTGCTTCTGGGCGGCGACTTCAAGGAGCCTGGTTCTGCAGCCTGCCAGCCAGCAGCTAGAGACAGGTGGCCAATTCCTCAAGGTCCCTTAGGTCCTGCTCCCAGCCTATAGGTACCCGGGGCATCCCAGGAGTAAACTCATTCAGAGAGAGGGGCATTGGGAGATGACAGGACAGTGTCACCAAACTTGGTGGCAGATGCAGTCCAAGCTGCAGACAGCATGGAGACAAAGGGCATTTATCACATTAGATGGCACAGATGGGGTATTGCTAACCTGTAATTAATGGGGCAGTTAGATGACAGCATGTACCTGGGCCCTCCGTGTGAACCTCTTGCCCACCCCAGCCAGCACAGAAAGGTGCACGAGGGCCAGGCTGGGCAGATAGCAGCACACGGTCCTTGCGAGTGTCCACAAGCCGGTGCCCATTGGAGAGGGGTCCCAGGGGAGTGAGTGCATCACAGCACCACAGGCCCTCCCACTCCCATCACCCCACATGCCTGCAACTCCCAAGACAGGACAGATGAGAACCGAATGGAGATATATTTTGAAACGCTCATATTTGTCTCTCCTCTCACGTTTTTCTGTGTTTCTTTTCTACAATCCTGAGACTGCTGTTCATCAACCCCCAGCGTCTGCGCCACAATGTCCCGGAGAGCAGTTACGCAGGGAAGTCATTTCACAGTCAGACGGGTGGCGGCCAGGCCGGCAGGCAGGCACGGAGGACAGAGCAAGGCTGTTCAAATCACCAAGAAGGGGAAGGAAACCCTGCAGGTTGCGGCCCTCCCTCCCATCAAAGGAAGTGTCTCTCTGTGCTGTTCTCACGAGTCTTCAGCCTCCTCGGAAGGGCCCTCCTCTGCCATCTCAGCGTCCTGGTGTCCCCACGCTTCTCAACACTCCAAAGCAGAGACAAAACAGGTGCCCCGCCATGCCATCCAGTTTACATGAGGGATAAAATTACATTTGTACAAAAATAGATTCATTTACCCTTCCCGGTGCGTTAAACATTCCTCTATCTTTACTCCCTGCGGCCGCAGCATCCTCCCCACAGTGGCCGCGCATTCCAGCTAAGGCATGGCTAGAGATCAGGGCACTCCAGCCCTGCAGCATCTGAAAATAGATGCATCCCCTGCCTCCAGAGTCACCAGAGCCTGACTTCCCCACAGAAGGGGACCTCAGGTCCTTGCTCACAAGAAGCAAATGTACAGGAAAATGGGAAAGTCTTGATTAAAAAGAACACAAAACATTGGGAACTGTGCCGCATCTCCTGCCACTGCGGCCTCTGCAGTCTCTGGACAGCACATACGTGTTCACAACACACACACACCTGTGTGTAGGGGACCAGGTCACACACCCTGATTCTGTGATGGGGACAGCAAATGATTCACCATTGGTTGCCTGCTCCAGCCAGGTCTTCTGGAATCCCAGGGGAGGGGGCGCAGGCGTCCCTTGGCACCGTCAAACTGCCTAGTATCCACAGGGATGTGGTCATTTGGAAAACTGAGGGTGTGGGGCCAAATTCCCTCAGTGACTGTGGTTTCAGGGTGATATGGGCCAGAAGTTGCCACAGGCTCTGTGGTCATTGTCACTTCTCAGCCATAGGAGCCCCAAGTGAATCTCCAAGCAGGGAGGTGACACAGATGAAGAATATGGCCCAGAAGCAGCAGTGTGGATGTCACATGACCATCGGTGGCAGTCATCCAACGAGGCTGAGGTTGGGATGGGTGCAGGGTGGCTAATGAGCTGGCATTAGTGCTATCTTTAGAAAATTAAAGATTGTCCCACCAAAATAATAACAATAATTACAATCACCTTAATTGAACCAGATTGGTAACCGACTAAATGTCTGGTTAAATGAACCCAATTCTTTCCTTAGTGACACCATGCCCACACCTCCCCTGCAAATAACAGCACTGTATACACAATAATGGTGACGATGAGGCTAAAGAACAGGAAGCCCACGAGGGAGTCTATGGTAACAAGCAGTGACAGGTAAGGCTATGTGGACCACCGGCACTAGGGGCCATGGCCTCAGTTCCTGAAAGCCAGCATCCCAGAGTCAGCCCCAGGACTTTCTCTGCTGGAGCCAAGGACCATCCTTGGTGGCTCAGAAGAACACAGGGCACAGCATATAATGGGGCCAGCATGAAAAAGGGGAGCGTGGTCTGCTGAAGGCACAGCGCTAGGTGTGAACCAGGGAATCTGTACCCCTCTGCTTGGTGCTACCGTTCCTCAAAGGCTGCACAGGGTTTCCAGGAAAGCCTAGAAGCTGGCTGGTCCTGGGAACTGCGAGGCCTCCCACATACATCTCTCATGCCACCTCATGGAGAAAGCGGCTACAGAGAAGATGTTTCTGGAACCTTCTATAGGTGCCTCAGCTGGCTCTTGCTAGGGACTTTGAAAAGTTGGAAAATGAATGTGTCCTTCCTCATAGAGCCTATGAAACTGGATCCTCCTACCCACTACCTCCAGGCCCAACCCCCTAGATGTCTGGTTTCCTGAGGGTCTTCCTCTCTTACCCCTTTGCACCAATGGGAGTCCAGCTGTTGGGGAGGCAGTATGGTCATCCCCACTAAGGCCCCTGCTCCTGATCAACCTGGGCCCCTCGGTCTGGGACTAGATCATGAAGACTGGGACCAAGGGAGGCCTTACAGTGCAACCAATGTTGTTCAACCAGAAAGGCACACTCAGAGCCTGAGGTGAAGCCACATGGACAAACTGAAGCCTGAGCCCACAACCTACCACCTGAGCAGGTGTGAAAAAGCCCTTGCTTGAGTAAGATTCTGGACACTGTCTACAAACAACATCATACCAAGAGGAATCCCAGAAAGGCCCATCAGCATTCCTAACAGAAGTGGCCAGTCCAGTAAGGGGTCCATGCGAGAGTCCCTCACCAGGACACAGTCACCTTTCATATCTGCCTGGTCCATCCCCAAGTCCCTCCGGCCCCCTTTCAGGAAACCAGACAACAACCCTCTTCCTTCCCTGAGCCTCAGGATGTCCGGTGTCCTACAAGAGGCCAGCAAAAGGACAGTCCATGTGTTGCCCACAGGACCACTGGATTAGAAAGCCAGGGGCAGCCTTCCAGGATGGTCCTTGGCACCACCTTGCAGACCACAAAGGAAGATGTGGACCAGGGAAAAGACAGGTCACCACAGCTGGCTAACCTGGGTTGATGAGACATATGGTGGGGGACAATGACACAAAAAGGAACTGGGAGGACATGACAGAGAACCTCCAGCCCATGCAGCCTCACGGGGGTCCCAGGATCCCGCACGGTGGCTGTGGTGACATCTCAGGATATCTTTTGGAAACAGGCTTTACAGGTTAGCTATGGCCCACAGGGATAGGACCTGTTCCCTCTTCACCCCAGGTGGGTTCCCACCCTGGCTGGTTACCAGGACTCTGAACAGGCAAAGATAGGCCACTCCAAACATAGGTGCCATGTAGGCGTGTCGAAAACCAGCGACAGCAAACAGCGACTAGAACAAGCCCTTCTCCCAGCTCCAGAAGCACCCCAAGCCCCTCAGGGTGACAGCAAGGTAGCCCAAGAGCCTGATGTGGGGGAGGGGGCTGGCTGGGTCTCAACCAGCTCTGGCTATGACCCTGGGCCAAAGGCAAGCAGTCATAAAGATGACAAGGATGGTGATGCATCTTTCGATACCATAGGGACACTGCACCCCAAAGGTCCACACGGGCCAGCAGAAAGAGCAGGGACAGGGCTGGTGCTGAGCAGCTGTGTCCAGGCAGGGCGCAGGTCCGGCGCACAAGTGGCAGGGGCCTAGGTGGTTTGATGTGGGGCCTCCAGCATCTCCATAAGGAAGGTGTCAATGGGTGTGTCGCCGATGAGCTTGAAAAAGAACAGGTGCTCCAGGCACTTGAGCCCGATGGAGCGCAGTGCGGGCAGGCGAAGCAGCAGCTTGGCGAACCTGCAGGATAGTAGAGAATAAGGATTGGCAAGGAGACGAGGCGGTGCTTCCCCTCTCTAGTGACCTGTCACTTCCCTAGAGACCAGCTGAGACCAGTGGCCTGGGACCTGAGTCTGGCCTGCAGAGGAAGCTGCCTGAGTTGACCGACGGTCAGGAAGATGGAGCAAGGAACCAGAGAAAGGAGGCTCCTTAGAGACGAAAGAGCACAAAGGGTAGGGCTAGGGTAGGGTGAGGTGCACCAAGATCCACAGGGCCCTGGAATGGAAGCGGGAAGACTACTGTCGGCCAGGACAGGCCCAACAGGATTTGGGAGAAGTTACAAGTGTGGGCTTGCTCCACGGGCAACGGGGAGCCACAGCAAAAATTTAAGCAGGTAAGAGCATGAATGGATTTGTGCACGAGAGAGGCCTCTGCAAGAGCAGTTACCTTTTAGAGGCAGGAGGGCCTGTCCTAGGAAGAGGCAACAGAAAGATCTGTGAGCAGCCTCAAGGGTAACATACCCGGTACTCAATGGGTGACTGAAAAGCCACAGGGTGGGGGACCCCACTGGAGGTGGAGCCAGCAGTGAGCAGTGAGCTGGAGAATTCTGTGCTCCAGCAGGAATGTCAGCCTCTCACGGGCATCCCCAACATGGTGCAGGCCCCTCCTCAGAAAGGACTCTGCTGGGCTACTTACTAGGTGCTGGGAAGGACTCTGGGTCCCTCTATCCCTGGAGTATTTCCTGGACAAAAGAGTGATAGGTACGGGAAAGGAGTCTAACGGCTCATGGAAGACAGACATCCAAGCCAATCAGCCACAGGATAGTGTGGTGTGGGGACAGGACCTGGGTCTCACATGTGACCTCTGCGTCTGATGGGGGTCCTCCTATACACTGGAGGGGGCTCTGAGCCTCATTAATTATTAACCATGTCTTTCACTTCCAGGGAGGAAGCCCTGTGGCTGGCTGCTCCACCGTCCTCAGTTTAAAGGCATAAGCATAACTTGGAGGCTGGAGAGGCGCCAGAGAACAGGCTGTTTTCTGCTGAGCTGGCGAGATGGGCTAAGGCAGGAAGCCAGGAAAAACAAGCCGTTGCCACCCTCCTGTCCTCCTCCGGGAAGTTTCACTTTAAACCAAACCAGATGAGGACTAAGCAGCAGTGTGGACAGTTAACTATGTACATGCCAGGCAACAAGATGGGTTAGTGTGCCCATCTGCCCACTCCCCACCCCCTCACACCAGTCTGTAGGCTGAGGGGCTAAGTGGTGCCCCACAAGAGGAGGAGCAGAACGAAACATCAGACTGAGTCCCGGGAATGCACCATTTCTCCTTCTGAACACCTACTGTGTGCCTAGCACTACAGACCGTCCACCCAGCAGTGTGGACCTGAACATGACCGTAGACACCAGTCTTCTTTAGGCATACTGAGAAAATGTGTGTTCCGGCTTCAGCCATCTTCTCTGCACAGCTGTAAAGCACCTACATGGTGCTGGTATTTCCAGCCCTCTTAACAGGTTCAATTTACAAGTGAAGAACAAAAGGCTTCGTATTCACGAACAATGGCAAGCACCTACTGTGCACCAAGAACTGGACCAATGCTCACAATGGGGTATAGAGGAAGGTGTGTTGTCCTCAGAGCCTGTGAGCCAGAGGGTGGCCTAGTTCCTGCTCAGAGCCTTCAGAGCATTCCACACTGGACCTGTGGTGGACACCACTGACTTTGTGGCACACAAAGGACTTCAGAGATGGGTGGCTGGGCCCAGGGGTACAGGCAGGGGGCTGTCTGGGGTGGAGGTGCAGCTCACCTGCCTGGCTGCTCCGGATACTTGTGTTTGCAATATGCCTCTAGTGATGCGTACACCTTCTCCCTCAGCGCCTCCACCTCGGCAGGGTTTGAAAGCCCCTTGGAGTCTGTAGGAAGAAGTGGCCTCAGGTCAGAGCCCCCAGATTGTCTCCAAGCCACACGTAAACACAGCAGAGAGTATACGTGGCTGCCCTGCAGACTCACAGCTCACAGCCCAGGAGGAGGGATGCTCCAGAGTCATGCCTTCACTCTGCCACTTGAAAGCCAAGGGACCGCCAACCAACGCCTTGACTTTCAAGGACTTAGTTTTCCCATATTTTTCCAGGTGCCCATGAGAGATAATCAATGCTTTCAATGCTTGGACCCCAATCAACAAGAAGAAAACTGCAAGCCCATCACCGAGGAGCTCCCTAAACCACACCACGAGCAGATGCCCCGGAAGCCCCTCCTCAGAGCCTAGATGCTGGCCACAATCCAGGATGCGTCTATGCCACAACCACATCACCAACATCATCAAGGCACAGTGTCTCCTGCAAATACTGAGGTTCTGGGGGCTCCCTGGACTTTGTCAGACTTTCAACTAACCTAGTTCCTGATCCCCATAGTCCCTGGCCAAGGCCTCCCTGGTTCCCCATGCCTCCAGCCAGGTCGCACAGACCTAACCTGGCCCAGGAATTACGAACTGGTGAGCTATCATGGGTAGAAGCCTATGCCCCTGCGCCTCCATACCTTCCACCCACCATGGGCAGGGTTGATGAGCTAAGCCTCCAACCCACATACAATCCCCTCCCCAGCAGACAAGGATGAACTTTCAAACACAAAAGCCCTGCATACCCTGCTGGACCAAGGGCCCCAGCCTTAGCAGCTCCCTAGGGCCTAGTTAGATCCACCCCCAACCCTGTGGGCCATCCCCCCGAATCCTTGACTCTCTTCCCAAGGATCCCACACTCTCAACTATACTATGCTTCCATCATCACATGGAGTGGCCACTAATGGCATCTGTCACCAACCCAGAGCTGTGAGCACAGGCCTGGCCCACTCCTCATACTGCAGCTCCCATTGCACAGTGCTGCACAGAAGACAGGGTCCCAGCCTTTGTGACAGCAACAGCTTGGAGGCTCCAGAGTCCCAGGAAGGACCTGCTATCCTCGGGAAGCTGCTCTCCACAACCCCAAACACCCTTGAAGCCAAAGTTCAAGACAGTATTGGCTGCCCTCGGGATACCTAACAGGACGACATGATCACCAACCCCATCCTGGGAGCTCACTGTGACAGAAGACCACTGTGAACAGCAGAGCCCACTAGTGCCAAGTGGTCATACAGAGTGCCACTTGGGCCTCTTGGTTAAGTCTCCATACAAGTGGAGGCACAAGATTGCTGTCTATTGTGATGGGGACACCGGGCCCTGAAAGTCAAGGCATGAGGCAGAGCAGCTAGGAAGACACAAGTGACCTTGGCCGCACGGGAGGCAAGAGGGCCATACCAGGGTTGAAGAGGACAATGGCACGCAGGCAGCCCAGCTCCGTCTTGTCCATCTGCATGTCACGCATCTTAGACACCAGCTCCGTTAGCACCCTGCAGAAAAAATACAGGTGTCAGGGTCCATGTTAGACACAGCCTTCCTAGAGCGCCACCAAGGGAGACCCACTGGACTCCTGGGATGGCCAGGGTAGACTGAGTGTCGCTGGAGGCACCGGGACTGGTCAGGGCCATAAAAAGAAAGCATCACCATGAGCCCATGGTTCTTTGCAGGGTGGGATCCTCCACCACCCCATGGCTGTCTGGGAATCTGGGCCCAGAGGAGGAACCCCAAGACTGCTGAGTCGAGAAGAGCTGAGACAAGATCTCCTGCTGTGTGGTCATTCCTGGTGGCCCTGCACTCATGCCTGTATCCCTTAGCTCCAGGTTAGACTTCCTCTGGGACAAGCCTCTCAACACACGTCATACAGCCTCCTCAGCAAGACAGGAACCTCTCCAAGGGCCTGCAAGTGTCTTTAGTCCATTCGACATGAAGGCAGCTTGGAAGAATCCTAGACCCTACTCCCATGTCAGCCAGTCTCTCTGACCTCAGCAGCAAGGAGGAGTCCTGTCACCAGGGGTCAGACTCCACACACCACTCTCTTTGGCAGTGAGGATAAGCTAGGACCTCTCCAGGCAGTGCTTGGGATCCCCAGAAAATCTAAGTATAAGGCCCCCAGCACTGTCACTTCACTGCTAACCAGGCATGTGGGTAGGGCGACATTCCCCAAAACCAGACTCCAGAGGACTAAGCCCCCATCCCAGCCCCTGTGGAGTGGCCGCATATGTGAGCTTGTCAAAGACCCCCAGAGGGCTTGCAGCACAGAGCCCGGCACTGACTGAGGTAGCATTTGCCCCATCTGTGGCCACAAACCTTTCTGTACTAATGCACTCTGTGTTTTCTAACCAGTCTTTCCCTGGGAAGAGCTCCGTCTGTACTGTCTCTTCTGTGGCATAGAGGATAGGTGGGTGGCTTTGCCCATCTCCAGCTTCAAGGCTCTGAAGTGCAGGTACTCACCTGCCCCACCTCAGCCCTGCTCCCTCCTAAGGACCTGTTCATTCCTACTCATTTCCTTACGCCCCTGTGCCATCCCAGCCTCTCAACTTCAGCTGACACTGAGGTCTGGCATGGGCCCTCAGCTTGTACATAGTGCTGGCCAGGCAGACGAAAGGACAAGCAGCCACAGTACCTCACCTGTTGGGCATAAGCAAGTCAGGCAATTCAGGAGAGGAACTGGGTGGAGCCAGGCGGCCACTGGACGCGGCAGCACTCCAGCCGGCCTGCTCCTTTGAGCATGTCTCTGAGAAGCATCTGGGCAGTACAGAGGCACGCATCCATGCCCCTTGTGGGTGTGAGGCCCCACACCCACACCAGCCACTCGGTGCTAGTTCAGGGCACAGGTTACCCTGGGGCTACAACAGCACTGCTTCTGTCTGGGACATGCCAAATGTTGACACTTATAAAGCCATACCAGAAACATAATCTGTTTTTGTTAACCAAGTGCAGCTGTCCTTGTAGATACACAGATCACAAAGAAGGAAGGCTGCCTATGGCCTCAACTCCCCTAGACTCCACAGACGACAGTCTCCTCATGTCTGGCCTGCATTTTTCACACTAATGTCTTTCCTAAGTAGAGGCTGTGCCCAACAGGGCAGGAAGAGACCAAGGGGCCTGTTGTCCACAAAGACAGCCCCACCCTGCCTACCTGTTGAAGACGGCCCACCTACTGAAGAGGGCAACTACCCCACCTACCTGCTGAATAAAATGCATACTTAGACAACTGGTCAAAAATGGTCCCCAACCCCTCCACCCAATCAAAGGTGATGCTACACCACTCATGTGATACAGATGGCATCCATTCTACCTACTCAAAGATCAGACCTACCTTCCCCGCCTACCAAAGACAATGGCACCCGGCTCACCTGTCAAAGATGGCGCCCACCCCAGCACTGTGAGCGCTGTTCCGGTGTACGTGCAGGCCAGTGGCAAGGAGGATCCCATCTTTCACAGCTATGGAACGGTGGGAGAAGGAGGCAATAAGCAGCTCGTTCCAGCCTGGGGGAGGGAGGGAGAAAAGCATATGGTCATTCCGCTGTTCCTGTGACCCCCATCACTGTCCCTTCCCCTCTGGAAGCAGCATGTTCCGGACCCATTTCTTTCCACACCTAAGTCAAGGGTCCCAAAGAGCAACTCCAGCAAGTGTCGCCCAGAGCACCTAAGTGTGAGCAATGCCTGTTCCTTCTACCAAGTACACTGGCAATGTGTCATCCCTGAGGATCCTGCACCAAACACGCCCCTAACAAATTCAGGGCAAAATGGAAGCTTCTTTCTGTACTTGAGGAGTTGGGAGGACTCCCAAAGACTTCCCTTGGGATGGCTACGGAATAACTGCTGATAGTCTGGGCCGTGTGGAGCACTGAGAAGGAAAGCCACCTTAGAGCCATGCATCCCAGGGTCCAGTACTAAGCAACCAAGGCTGCTGTGCAAGCACTAAGAAGGGATGTGGGGGAGGGGGATAAGGAGAGGCCTCTGCACAAACAGCCAGGGGCTCCTCAACAGGGCAGTGCATAAGCCTGCTCAGCACCTGTGTTCCCATCTCATGGCTGCCAGCTTACATGGACATACTTATCCATCTTACATGGGAGAAACTGAGGCAGCCATCACTTGAGAGGTAGGGTCTGTTATGCTTCTTGCCACAGGTTGAACCAACCTGGATACTAGAGATCACTCCCAGAACCATGACCTCAGGGACCCCACAAAAGCACATGGGGCAAACTGTGCCCCATCTCGTATCTAGGCAACTGAGCCCTGCACTGACCGGGTCACGTGAGGCCCCAACCTAAGGCTGTCTCTTTCACATGGGTTTCCATGCCTCAGTGGCTAGGGCAAAGACCTGGATAGTTGTACACCTGCTGGACAGCATGCTTCCCAGAGCCTCGAATGAATCGCTGCTCACAAAGTGGGCCACAAATCATCCCAACGTGGAACAAGTCCACCCAGGCAGAAGCAAACATGGCAGGATCCATTTTGCTCATCTCGACAACCCATGCCCACCAACAGATGGTTTCAAGCGGAAGGCAGAAAGACTGGGGTCTATGTGAGCCTCACCCCAAGCAAACAGTTTCCAAAACATTCCATGATATACAGGGATCCATCTGTATGGCTCATTTTATCTACTGGGGTGGGCTGAGCTGAGGCTGAGCTGAGGCCCTTGGTACAGGCAGAAAAAACAAAAGCAGTTGAGGTGCTCAGGCGCTTCAAGAAAGCACAGCCTTCAGGGCCCTTCATGGAAAGTGAGGCGAGTGTCAACTGTCATCACAGCTCCGCAGCGAGCAAGAGCTGCAGACGCCATTCCCAACACATCCCCATCTCTCCACAGCAGGAACCTGAGCTAAGGATCCTAACCTTGGCACCCTACTGGTCACTGGTGGAATCCAATCAATGTTAAGGATTCTTCCTTATTATGCGTTAATAGGGAAGAGTCGGGACAACCTGCAGAGCTAGCCCCATGCCAAGTTCCAAGGCTACTCTCCTACCACGCAGAGCCCCCTCCACTGAGGATGAGAGACACTGCTTATGCTCCACACACTTGCACCAAGACCTCTGCTCAGAAAAGGACCTGCAGCTCCCAGAGGACAAGGTTGCAGAGGTCACAGAGACCTGGTGGGCAACCTGATGAGACCCTTTACTGACACACTCTTGGCTGGCAGAGAAAAAAGGATTAACGCCCACGCAACACTCGCAGCCTCCCGTCCTACCCTCACCCAGTCTGGCTACTCACCTGCCCGTAGTAGGATGACCTGGTCGTCCAGAGGCAGCTCAGAGAAGTGCGGGATCCTCTTGGCCCACTCCACAAGAGTGAAGAGCTGCTTGTCTGCTGCTTGGCAGATGTTGGTAACAGGGTCATTTGGCTGGAGTGGAGGAAGGACACCAATCAAGCCTCACACTGCTGATATCCCGACAGAACACCACTGGGACCTCCTCCATCTGACTGTACAGCTTCACTCTGGGACCTCCTCCATCTGACTGTACAGCTGCACTCTGGGACCTCCTCCATCTGACTGTACAGCGGCACTCTGGGACCTCCTCCATCTGACTGTACAGCTGCACTCTGGGACCTCCTCCATCTGACTGTACAGCTGCACTCTGGGACCTCCTCCATCTGACTGTACAGCTGCACTCTGGGACCTCCTCCATCTGACTGTACAGTTTCACTCTGGGACCTCCTCCATCTGACTGTACAGCTGCACTCTGGGACCTCCTCCATCTGACTGTACAGCTGCACTCTGGGACCTCCTCCATCTGACTGTACAGCTTCCCTCCTCTGAGCTGGCTCCACAGCAGACATTTAACGAGCTACTGCCTGCCAGGGAGGTGTGGTCACAAGACCACCCAGGCAGGGCCCAGAGGAACCAGCAGCCATCTGTGAGGCTAGGTGCTGCCTATCTGGCCTCTTTAGCTTGCAGCCGAGGGAAGATACACCCAGTCCATGTACAGCTCAGATCAATGCCAGTCACAGAAAGCTAGGAGGACAGTGGCCTTCTACTGGGTAACTCTGAAGACCTGCCCCCCTCCCGGGAGGATGGCAAAGGCCCTGTCAGAGGACATTACCAACAACAGCCTTACTTGACCTCAGTTAGCCTCCACAGCCCAGGCGACCACCTGTAGGATCCCATTCCACAAGGTAGAGTCCTGATGCTGCCCTCCCCTCCTTCCCAGGATTGGCAAGAGGAGGTGGAGGACAGGACCCCAGGCAGAGCAATGGGCAGGTTCAAGTGGGCAAGGTGTCCTGTGGTCTCCATGGTGGGGAGGTGTCATAACACAGCCAGGATTGGGTTCCCAAAAGAAGACTACCTATAAGGCTCTACACCTTCTCCCCAGTAAGGCATCCCCAGGCCTGAGACACAGGAGAGGTGGGTAATGGGGGTGGTGTGGGACAGTGCTTCTGTCACAGGACCTTGCAAGTATGCAAGAGGGGATTTCCACTCATAGACTACAGAGAGGGAAGAGACATGTCTGAGCCCCTGGGATAGCTCAGACACCACCCCACTGACTCCTAGGATAGCCTGTGCTACTGCCCTGTGCCTAGAGCTGAAGGGAAAGAGCCAGTGTTCTGTGTCCAGCTCACAGCAAAAGGCTGAGGCTAGGCCCCAAGGAGCAAGAGAAGACAAACATCACCCTGACTATAAACCATAGGGCCTTCCCTGAGGTCTGCCTGGACTGGGTGTCCAATGGTTAGCCACAGGGCTCTGACCCCAGCCCAGAGGCCCACACAGAACACAAATGGGAGTTTGGACATCACGCTGAAAGCACAAGTGGGCAGAGGGGCCAAGAGCTTGAGACAACATGAAGCCTGCGGGTCTGTCCAAGGTTCTGTTCTTGGATCCGCACAAGAAATGCCCCAATCTGGGACATGGCTGCAGCCACCTCCTCACTGGGTCTTGGGCAAATGGAGTCTCCCACCCAAACAAGCCCATCTTGACCAACGGCCTCTGAAGTGATGGCAGGGGGTGAGGCAGGAAGGGTCAGGGGAAGAATACAGGTTAGAGTCCAGGAACAGGCATGGAAGCCAGAAAGTTCTGAAACCAAGACCCTGAAGGCAGCCAGGCAGAGAGCCAGCAGTGGTTTTGTCTGGGGGTTGCAGCAGTTAGAGGTGGCAGATGGTATAGGAAGACTGGGGAAGTGGCTGTCTAGGCCATTCCTACAGGTGGCCAGTTCAAGGGTGACCAACTAGAGGAACAAGAGGCACTTCTGCTTCAACAGCAGTCATGGCAGCTGCCACCCACGAGCACTTCCCTGCTGGCTCCTCCACCTCCTCACAGCAGCGAGTGGGACAGAGGCTGCAAAGTCACCCTGAGGCCACACACTCGTGACAGCCTTAGAGCCTAGCAGCTGCCACCGAGCTTTCTGCCCAGGCTCAGTTCCCTGTAGCTTCTCTGGAGAATTCTCTTGCCCTGAGATCAAGACTCACCATGCACATGAGCCAAGACTCCACAGTGACAGCTGGCCCTGGCCCTGAGTCTGCTGAGCATTTGGATAGGGCAGACACGGCACCCCAGGTATATCCTAGGCAGAGTAGGGCACTCACAGGGTCACCCAGCAGAACAGAGGTCCCACTGTTGGGGATAAGAGACCATAGCAGCCATAGGAATCTGGTTCATTGGCTGTTCAAGCAGGAGGGTAAGCGAGTTAGTAATCAGGGGTAAACTAAGGTGGATGAATGTCTTGAGACTCACTGAGCTGGGGTTCAACCCCATGTTTGCCTCCACGTATGTCTCAGTCTTGGGCTCAACAGCAAGCTCGGCTTCCAGAATCTTCTCCACAGGCATGTCTTCATTGGCACTGCTGGTGGACTCCACCTCATTCTCATTCCGGTCCTTGCCTCTCTGCCGCTCCTCCTGCACGGCTATATACAGGAGACAGTCACCCGGGCTGTCCACAGTTCCTGGAACACTCCCCCATGTTCAGAGCCAGGAAGAGCTAGCTCCAAGCCAGTGCATCCACAATCCTGGAGGCCCCTCCAGGGCCTGCTGAGGGAGACACACTCAGAGCCTAGCCTTGTATCTGCCTGTACCTGGCCACTGGATGGCTGCATACCCTGGACGCACGCTGCTGGTATTTGTACCAGGAGCCCATCTGAGGTCAAGGCAGATGGCCTTTCCTGGAGCTGATGGGCCACAAGAATACTAAAGCAGGTGTAAAAGACTTTGATGGTCTGAAGGTGCAGAGAAACCCAAGAAGGCTTCCTGGAAGAAGTGGGAATGGGCCTGAAGAAGGAAATAAAATGAGGAAGATAATACAGCAGAAGAAACAACATATAAACACCCCCAGAGGAGTGCAGGGCATGCTCCTGACAGGACAGGAAGCGATGACCACTGAAGTGATACGCCAGAACAAGGGACATGCTGGGCACATGTGAAGCATGCATCTACTGCTCCTGTGTTCTCCATGCTTAGCTCTGCAGACGAGAGAGGCACCCCAGCCTCACACAGACCACACAGCTTTGCCCCCTTCCTCCATGATGGCACAGGCCTTGGGACTGCCCATCCACCAGACAACAGCTCCCAGACAGCTGTGAGCAGACCAGCTCTCAGGAATGGTGGGGGCAGCATGGCAAGAAAGAACTACAGCGGCAGGGCAAGCTCACTCAACATCTGCCTGGCCAACAACCCCGCTGGAGAGCAGTCCAGTGAGGAGCCTCGGGCGGGAGCCAGAGTGTGCTTTTCCCGCTAATGGCTCCCCTGAATCCATTCTGTCTCCACCATGCTCAGACACCAGTAAGGTTCAAACCCCTCCCTCCATGCTGTGTTCCTGCAGCAGGCTAGGTGTTGACCTGATTCTCTCTCTAGAAAGATACCTAGGGTAATGCCTCTCTAGAGGCCCAAGGGCGTGACCAGGGAGATCTAAGGCTGCCATCTCAGGACCTTGGTCAGAGCTCAATCAAACCTTGTCTCACATTTCCTAGGTGACAGAGCACAGGTTGGCAGTGTCAGGATCGCAAGGACAGGGCAGCAGCAGCCTCCTCTTCTACAGCCAGACTCACCTCCTGACCCCGGGCTCTCACCCACAACCCCCGTAAATGGCTTTGGAAATACAGCACAAAGGTCAACAGGAGGGATGAAGGGAGAAGGGGTTCTCACACTGCAGGGGCCTCTCTGCCTAACACCCAGGGAGCAGGCTTCTCTCACGCTCACCGCCCCTCACTCCTCCATGGCTCCCACTGTAATACTCAGCCCAGCGGGTTTTTTCTGCATACAGCTTGTGACAGTCCCAAGTGACCTTTATTCAGCTTATTTATTTTTGTTTTTGTTTGTTTTTTTGTTTTTAGACAGGGTTTCTCTCTCTAACAGTCCTGACTGTTCTGGAACTTACTTTGTAGACCAGGCTGGTCCACAACCCGGCAAGTGACCATTTTTTTTAATTCCCCCGGCTACTGCTCCTTGCTGGGTCCACCAACACCATTCGGTTGAGGGTCAGACTGAACCAATACATAGCTCTCCCATGTTGGGGCTATGATCCCAGAGACTCAATGGCCTGGCTGAGGCAGAGACTTTCTAGCCATGAAAGAGGCAAGAATGGGAGGCTGCTCTGATGTCTGCAGAACACACCAGCTGGGCTGAGGAGCTGGGCAAAGGCTGGTGTTTTGCAAGCTTGGCTCTTTTGGAAAATCTGACAGCAGGTCGGGGCTGGTGTAGAGTTGAGTGCTATGGGCAGATGGTGCCCAGCCTACAGGGGCTACAGAAGGTTGCCAGCTCCATCCCTCCCCAGCTGGGCTTCTAGGGCCCTTCATGGGGCTGCTGAGCATCTGGGTTAGGGTTACTCCACAAGTCAGAGGACTGTGGCCCAGAGCCTGGAGAAATCAGCCCGGCAACTAAGCAGCCCCACTGACCAACATCTGAATAGACCAATCACAGGCAAAGTTACAGTCAGGAAGTCTACATCCCAAGGCCCAAAGACAGAACTCTTCAGCCTCAGGCTAGGACGATGTCAACTCAACAACCTCACCTTCCCAGATGGAAGAACGACTCAGAGAGCCAAGTGCCAGAGTAAACTATGGGCCCTGGAAGGAGATGGTCTCCCTTGAGCAGCTGCGGTGCTTCGGGCAATTGCTTTAGCATCTCTGTACCCCACCTCCTGTAAAATGTCAAGGCAGAGCCTGCCTTCCAGAGGACCCTAAAGGAAACACCTGAAGAGGCCCACCCCACCCTGTTGGCCCAGTTTCACTCCGCAGGAGGGGACTTCCTTGCTCTCAGAGCCAGCCTTGGGATTTGCGAAGCCCAGGGGAAGGCAACCCTGAGTGCAGGCCCTCCCGGCAGCAGCCAGCTATCCCTGCAAGCTTGTCCCTGGGTGGATGAGGGGCTCTTCACACCTGCCTCCTGTGCGGGGGCAGCCGAGAATTAATTAGCAAATGTTTTGTGAGGCACTTTGAAGCCTCCAAGGGCCCCGGCAGCTGAGGGCGGCATCGTTATAAATATTATCGTTTTATTTATAGACAGTGGAGGGGCAGAGGGAGCGGGATTTATGTTTTGCCAGCTCAATCACCTTTTAGACGCACTCATGTTTGACTTATGCTCCACTGGCGCCGGGAAGCCTCGGGCGGGCGGGAGGCGTCTGTAAATACAGGGCCTCGTTATCCTTCCAAGCCTGCGCAGGCGGGGGAGGTGGTTGCCTCAGAGCCTAAGGTTCCCTCATCTGCCTGTGGCCTGTGGTTCAGTCCTCCCAGGATCCAGATGCAGGCTGAGCAGGGGATGATCCTCCTGCACACCTGGGTCCACACGTAGGACATACAAAGTGGAGTGTGTCGGGACTGATCAGAAACTGAGGGGCCCCTAGGAGGTAGGGTGTCAGAGTACAGGAGTCTCCCAGATCTTAATGCCTTCCCTGTTTTGGGGTTTGCCAGAAACGGTAGCCTTCTTCTGCCCCTCCACAGCCCAGGGCTGGGCCCCAAGGTAGGCAGGACCAGGTTCTACCAACATGCACTGGTCCAACTGCTCCTTCTTTAGGCCCAGGCAGTGGAGGGCCAGAGCAAGTGGCTTCTTCCCAGAGGCCACATAGTGCGTCGAGGCCCCTGCAGCTCAGGGGGATGGCCTTCCCTCCCTCAAGAACAAGTCTGGGACAAGTCACAAGAAAAGTGAAAACACAGACAGTCATGCATACATGCACAAACACACACTGTGGCCACTATGCTCCAACCCTACTATCAGCTGGGCTTGAGCTGTCTTCTGCTCTGTTCCACTAACAAACCTCAGGGGACCCTTGCTGAATCCCCATAGTTCAGATGGGGACACTATGCTCAGAGAAGCAAAGTCATAAACCTAGAGAAACAACTAAGCCAGGGCCATTTCCCTACAGCGGAAATGGTGGGCTCATCCTTGTCTGTGTACATACATGCGCGTGTGCACGCAAGCACATGCACATACCACACACACACACACACACAGCAGAAATTGCCATTTCCGCACGCAAGTGCTCCAGAGCCAGAGGACAGGGTGCAGGAAGCTAAGAGAGTCAGGAAGGAAATGCAAAGAGGCCTCAGGGGAAGGGAGCTGAGGATGGGGTGTGCAGTGTGCAGCCTTTCTTTCCAGCCTGCAGATCAACGCACCTGCACGCCCCCCAGCCCTACCACCACCTGCACCAGCCAACAGGCCCAGGCTCAGCCTGTAAAGGGCACTGCCTACCCCCCAGCTGGGGAATGCTGCCAAACAAGTCCCCGTGGCTGCTTGCACACGCAGGCCCCTGCTATTGCCCAACATAGATGCTATCAGCCTGCAGTATCCTTCATCAGCCTGAAGCCATGGTGCCTCTCCCAGGGCAGGGCCACCCTACAGGGAAACATAGCCTTCTTGTGGTCAGCTCCTTCCTCTTCTGTTCAAGTGTTTTCAGGGCTATGTGGGATGAAGCCTGGAAGAGGGAGACTATGAGATTCAGACTCCAAAGCTTACTGTTAGTGGCAGGGTCTGGGTACTTCGGGGGCTGAGCCAGCACTGGAGTCGGTGGTGCACATCCTGCCTTCTCAGGGCCAAAGGCCCTGTTGGCAACCTGGTCTCACAGCTTCTCCAAAGGCTGTCGGGCTATCCACCTCACGCAGCCAACCGCCCCACCCACTACCCACAGAACTCTTTCTAGCAGTTAGCCCAGGAGAGCAGTGGGAATCAAATATGAATTCACTCTGGGGACTGGTCCAGACCCAGTGGGGAGAGGGGCAGTGTCCACTACCTAAATGCAGGTAGAGGTGGGGACAGGCCCTTGGGGATCCTCCCAGAGATCCCTGCACAGTGAAATCCCAGGCCACCACCTCGAAAATAAAGCTTTGGACTAGGGGCCACAGGCTCTGTGAGATGCAATGGGTCTCAGTGGCCAAGACAAAGTCCCTTCCCCTGCCCAGGAGCAGCCAATGAGTGGCAGTGCCCACCAAGCCTGAAGGCCTCAAGATGTCTTACAGCTGCCAACACAGATAACCCTGTGCAACCCAAGGGGCCAAGCTCCATGGTTGCTGTGTCTGGAACAAGAGAACGCACCACGGGGCTTGAACTAAACACTTAGGGCTCATAAACCCCGCAGGAACAAAGAGGCATGGGCTGGGGCTGGGGTACATCTCTCCACAGGAATGAGAAAATTATTTCTCAGGACCCAAAACACTGCCAGAGTGGCCCAAGGAACAGAGCAGGCCGCAGGGCTCTGTACAGGCAGACAGCCTGGAGCCCTCTTCTCTGAACTCCACTTCCTCTTTGTGCAGGTGGGCAGTATTAGCACAGGCATGAGGGGTGAGCATTCTATGTGCAAGGACTGGACAGGGGGTGCTCTGTGCCCCCACCCACAGGAAGCACAAAGTAAGACCCACACTGCTGACTCCAGCCTCCCCATCTCAAGACCATCACATTGGGATTCGAGAGCACCATCCACACTGCCCACACCTCTGGAAGGCCAGGCAGCTGGTGTCCAGACACCAAGCACCTAAGGGCAACTATGCGAGCAGTGGAGGAAGAGGTCACGGGAGCTGGAGGGTGAGAATTGTAGTGTCTGTCACATGCCAGGTCTACTGCCGGCCTTGGCTTTCACAGACACCACTCCCTTCAGCTGGCACACGGCACCTGATCTGCCCACAATCAGGTGTTAGCCTGGGCATATCCCTGCACAGAGTCACGCTCAGCTCCCAAGTCTGGGTCAAGTACCAGTCCCAAGCTCTTGCTGACCAAACCCAGGGACTTAAAGCCACCTACTTATCTGGTGGTCATTTTTAAGGGCTAGGAACTCATACCCAAAGCCTAAACAGTGTCCATTACCAGAACAATAGCTCTGAGAAAGAGAAGGCTCGGGCTGAGCTCAGCTCTTGAGAGGCTCACACAGCCCCAATTCTACCTCTGGCCATGGTGCACCCAGGTCTATCCACTCAAGCACCTGCTCTCTAGAGGATGTGTTGTATTGGTTATTCCCAATAAGTGTTCCCTTACGGCATGTGGTACCCCAAGACAATGTACCCCCATCCTTGGTAGGGCACTCCCTCTTCCTCCCTCTGTCCTCTCATTATAGAAAATGGGAGGGGACAGAAGCTGGGGTCTAGCTTAGCTAGACAAATGTGTTAAGACTTGGCCCCTCATGGCAATGGAAATTTCCCAGCATTGTCAAGGTCAGACCTACAAGAACTCTATACTCTTGTATGAAACCTGTACTCAGTCAGAGCGCCCTGGCTAGGGACATTCCCACACACATTCCAGCCCACAGCACACAGTTCTGCATATGCTGCCCTACACCAGCACTGGGAATGAGGTGCAGGTACTCCCTCCACCCCTGCTGACCTCACAGCCTGGAAGGACCCCACAGGGGCATGGGGTTCTCGTGAAGAAGAGGACCAGAACGCACTGAAAGAAGAACAATGTGAAGAGAGGAGCAAACCCCAGCACCGGACCTAGCCAGGCTGGTGCCCGACAGGGACAATGAAGAGCTGGTGAGAAGATGAAAGGACACACAACTGGCTCTAGGGTAGCCCCAGGGGCAGTTCTGGAGACAGAGTGGTAGATCCTGCCTCAGAAAGTGCCCAGCCCTGTGAGGCCTAGGCCTAGGACTGATGGAAGAACCCCGCCCAGGCACCCATCCAGAGACATATACACACACTCACCCAGGCACCCATACAGAGACATACACACACACACACACACACACACACACACACACGTGCACGTACACACACATGCATGCACACACACGCACACACGTGCACACACACACACATGCACACTCACCCAGGGACCCATACAGAGACACACACACTCACCCAGGTACTCATACAGAGACACACACACTCACCCAGGTACTCATACAGAGACACACACACTCACCCAGGCACCCATACAGAGAGAGACATACACAAGTACACACACGTGTGTACACATACACACTCATCCAGGCACCCATACAGAGACATATACTACACGCACAAGCACACACGCACACACACACACACACACACACACACACATTTCTAACGAGAGAACTAACTGTTCTAAATGCAGGTTTAGGAGGAGACAATGTAGCTGGTGAACCTAAGGGTCTAACTACACACCTGACATCTGGGACCTCTGGGGAGTCTCCTGGCCTGTCATATAATCTCCCTACCCCTTACAGACACATCTTTCTAATAAAGAGGCTCAGAGTCCTGCTGCTCAGAGGTCTGTGGGCTAACAGGTGACCCTGCCAGAGATGAAACTGGAAGTGGTCAAGTGGCCTTGAGAAGACGGGAAGCTCAAGATGACCCTCACATTCAACAGGCTCTGGGGGATATTTTGGTGGTCTCTAGAGGCCCCCTCCATCATTCCAACCCAAATGTGCCTCATCCCACGGGCCTCTCTGGGCATCCCCTCACTGGGCAGATGGAGAGACACCCTCTCTCTCGTCACCTTCCTTACAGCCACTTCTGCTCCCAGCCTCCTCTACCAGTCAGTGCTTGGTCTCCACAGACCATCTCGCCCAGGCAGTGTTGGCTCAGCCCCGCCATACCTCAAGAGGGGACGATTTGCTCAGCTCCTGTTCTTGGGGTCAAGCTGCCAGTGGGACGGTCCTGGTCTGTCTTGTCTATTGTAAAATACCGAGGTCTAGCCATATAGCAAGCACTCAGTAAAACTCTGGGTGGGGGAAGAGCTGGCATGAAGGCAGTCCCTCAGTAGACGAGCTCTACAGACAGCAGCTTTAACGGCACAGGCCAGGGGCTCCACTGAGCTCTGAAGGGAGGGAGTACCCGGTCACTGAAGGCATAAAAAGGAAGCCATCAGGCTAGACTAAAGTCTGGCAAACTACAAAATCCAGGCCTGGACTCTGCTCAAATCTCTCCACAGTAAAAATGCTGGGGGAAAGGAACAACAGAGGCCTCCTGGGTCTGATGACAAGAGGATGCTGGGCAGGAGGATGGCGTTCAAGGCCTACCTTCCCGCTTCATGCCCATGGCGAGGCACTTCTGGTAGCGGCAATACTGACACCGGTTTCTCTGCCTCTTGTCGATCAGGCAGTCCTTGTTGTCACGGCAGGTGTAGGTCAGGTCTTTGCGTACTGTCCTCTTGAAGAAGCCCTTGCAGCCCTCGCAACTGTACACCCCATAGTGCTTGCCTGTGGGGTATAGACAGAGGGATGAATGACAAGACCTGCGTCCATGTGTCTTGTTGTTGGCCAGGGCTCTGCCTTCAGGTTTCAGACTCCCTGTCTGGGCTCAGGCTAGACCCTGCCTGGTCCGTCCACCTTCTCTCTATCTGCTAGGGCTACGGGTCACTACCCCTGAGGATCAATATCACCAACTCTGCTACTATTGTGCTCTCTATACCTGAGCTATTTATTGCTCCCTAGAAGAGGACGGTCACTGTTCATGGCTCTCAGGCTACTGGGGTTCAGTAGCACAATGCAGGGGGGCCCTTCAACAGGCTTGGCCCAGAGAGGAGGCTAGCTATCACCGCACCTCAACCATCCATGCTTGCGTCTTCTCTTGGCACGCCTCCAAACCACCCTTCCCATCCCATACTAGTGTCTACCTTACCTAAGGACAACATGAGGCCCCTGAAGCTATCAGCCCACCCCTTGCTCTAGGGCAGAGGAGGTGCCCCTGGGTTCCCGTCTCCCTGTACCCAGCCCAGTGGAAAATGCTAGGGCGGCCCTGTGAGCTCTGTCTAGGTATCGTGCCCCTGCCCAGCAGGCAGTCGGTCCTACCTGAGGAGCGGTCCCCACAGATAGCACAGATGTGCTTCGTGAAGGACGCCATATTTCCTGAGGGATGGGCAGGAACCTTGAGGACGCCATTGAGGCCCAGCGGGGGTTTGATGTCCTCGCTGCTGCTCACGGGGTTCATGGGTGAGTTGAGCTGCAAGAGGACCAGTCAGGATAGGTCAGCCTTAGGAAGCCGGGGATGGGCACTAGTGAGTGGTGGGCTTCCTGCGACTCACTCACTCACTCAGGCCACAGAGCTAAGGGACAGCAGGACCATCATCCTTAGAACAGGGTTCAGCTCTACACACAGCCCTCAGAGGACCCCTCCCAGCAAACTCAGGCCACTGCAGGGTACCAGAGACCTCACATAAGCAGGGATCTCATGTCTCAGTGCCATACAGGAGGCCACTTACACTCCGCCACCCACCTAGGAGCCCCTGTCACTTAACACCTGCCGTGGGCTCTGGACATATGAGAGCACAGGTGCTCTGGGCTCCCCCACTACCCAGGTGAGGCCCAGAGGCCCAGGCTCAGGGAGGAGATAGGACTGGGCTCTTCCAGAGTCACACAGATCCCCACCACCTTCCATGGCAGCAGAATCTGGGACAGGACAAGAGAGGAGAGCAAGTGGACACCACAGACATCAAGCCACAGGGTCAACATGGCCATCCTGCCCTCGGCACACCCCTTGCCTCGCCCCGCCCTCTGGCCGCCAGGGGCAAGCGTGGGAAACTCACCCTGTCACCCAGGCAACAGCTGCGGCGTCGCAATGACACAGCAGTTTTGGTTCCGCAGCCTCCAGCCCAGCTCTGCAGTAAGCACAGGGCCTAGAGGCGCTTCCCTCTGCCTGCCTATCTGCCAGGGCGCCAGAGCCCAGCTGGGCAATCCCCCCACTTCTGAAAACTCCTGACAAAGGCAAAAAGCCAGCTGTACAGCTGCACTGCCCTTGCATAGCCCTTGCTGCCCCCTGCAAGGGGAACCTCACCTCCTTCCTCAGGGCCTCCTGCCCCATCCCCCTCTTTCTCACGGGACAGGAATAGCACAGAGGCACCAGAGAGGCTTTCTATGGGGGACCTAGCTCTCCTAAGGATTCTGCAGCCCTAGCTGGCCAGGGTTGTGAGATAGGCAAGGAGGCTGTCTGCAAGCATGCCTCACTCTGGTCAGCCTGGGCCCACAGAAAATCCCGAGTGTCAGGATATGGAAGTCCTTGATGGCAGGCAGACAGCAGAAGAGATCAGTTCATATGCTAACGAGTTGAAGGTCCTAGGTGGGAATCCTGGAGAAAGTGGGTGACACCACTGCCTTTTGCTAGCAAGACTGCACACACCCGCTCTGCTCACTATTTGGGAAGCCTAGCCCTGAGATTCCTGGAGGTCTTAGCTCTGTAGCATAAACAGCTCAGGGCCGGTGAGGCCCTGATATCAGGGCAAAGCAAAGGCTGGGCAGCAGCACCCAACCTCACCACAGACCCACGGACACTCACAGGGATCCTCAGTGCTCCACTAGTGGTCAGTCCTGGGATCCCGTGGCTTTTTTGCTCTTTCCAGATCTGAGCTGATGAATCAGGGCAGTTTCTATTCTCCCCTTGCTCAACCTCCCCCATGGATCCTAAGTCCCACCCACCTGGGACTTCTGTGTTCTCTATACAACCCTCAAGAGACCCAGGACTAGACAGCCCTCTGTTGGAGCCCACAGCCTCCCTGGGTGGGGTCATCCCATTTCCCCTTTCATATCCTTGGCATTTATTTCGGTTCTGCATCACTGGTGCCCCACCTGGGTCCCCGCCTACCTCTCAGGCATCCTCTCTTCTGCCCCTACCTCATCATATCCTCCCAGGTCCAGGCCAGCCCTCAACTAGCCCCCCTTGGATGGGCTATCCAGATCTAGGGCCTCCATCTCAGGCTCTGCAAGCTCCCCACAGCTCTATTCCCCACCTGGCTGGCTGCAGGCATCATAAAACATCCTGCTTATGCAGGGCGGTGGTGGCGCACACCTTTAATCCCAGCGCTCTGGAGGCAGAGGCAGGCAGATTAATGTGAATTCAAGGCCAGCCTGGTCTAGTTCCAGGACAGGCTCCAAAGCTACAGAGAAACCCTGTCTCGACAAAACAAAACAAAACAAAAAACCAAAGTCACTATGGCCCCCACAGTGGGAGATCCTCCTGTACACCAGGAGGATCAGAGGCCTCAAGGCCTCACTGGCTCCACACTGAAGTACTCAGAAGTGCTTCACCTGGAAGTCAGCATGGCCAGACAGGCAGGACTGTGAAGTAGTGGTGAACATCCCCTTAGGTCCTGTCCTAGTAGAGTCCTTGGATCACATAAGACACAGGGGTAGCTTGGGCACAGGTGGCCATGGCCTGAAAGTTATATCCAGACCTAGCAAGGTGCCTCATGGAGCTAAGAACCAAGAGGCGCCAACACTGAAGCCAGGGAACTGTGGCGGTCAGGTCTTCATCTACCCTCTCTGTGCGTGGCATTTCGAGCTAGCAAGGGTATAGAGCAGCTATGATAAAAATAATATGGCCAGGCTGGGGAGGTAGCTGGGTGGTCAGGCTTGCTTCACACCAGCAGTCCCTCACTCAGGCCTTCTGCCTGCTTCTGGACAGCAAGGTGAAGAGTCAGGGGCAGGGTGACAGACTGTTCGTGAACAGGAACCCCAGCTCTTCTATGCACATATGCATACAGATACTTGTGGGAACAAGCCCATGTGTGTGTGCACGCGCACACACACACAAACACACACACACACACACACACACACGTATTCTGGGGCAAAGGGGCTTAGATGGGATCAGCCCAGAAAAACTAGCCAGATTGTCTGGAGCAGACATTTAAGAGGCTCAAGCCAGTCCCAACAGGCTCCCTGGTCAGGCAGTGAGAGGTCCCCAGCATACCCAGCACCAGGAAGGGTGCGCAGGTGATGGCATGGTTCAAGGCACAAGGCTGTGGGAACTGAAGGGGCACATAGGTGCTGTAGCTGTGGTTCTAGGGAGGAGTCCCAGGTGTGCCATTGTGAGATGGCACAACAAAGCTACTTGTGCTGAGACAGAACCCAAACTAAGAAAATCAAAGGAGAAAGGAGATCCCTGACCTGTTTCAGGGACAGTTGAAGGAAACCTGAAGGGCAGGCTCTCCAGAGGCAGAGCTGTATGTTTACCAAAGTCAAAACTCCTGGTAGAAACCCACCAGAAGCCTCGAGGAAACCGAGGCAGAACACAGCTCTATCCAACAGGCATTCGGGGGCTTGAGAAGAAGAGGCTGAATAAGGAAGGAACCCAGGGTACCCACAGCAGGACGAGGGCCCTGCTAGGCCCACAAAAAGGAAGTCAAGTCTTATGGATAGCCAATATTCACAGAAAGCCACTAAAAGCCAGAGCCACCAGGGCCTCAGTGGGACCCAAGAAGCTGCATCCCTGGGCCCAGGGACATTGAGCCTAGTGGCCTGGGTAAGAGAACCTATGAGGTCTCGGGATCCCTGGAAGATGGACCTAAGCCTGAGAAAGCAGGTACCCCAGAGTTCTACAATCATGAGGCCAGGCTCCAGGGGGACTTGAAGACCGACTGTGAGAAATTTCAAGTGACAGAGCTATGGAGGCCAGTCTGGGTCAGCCACCAGCATGGCGCTCTGAGGCTAGTGTTTGCTGTGCAGCCCACTTTCATAAAGAAAAAGTTGAAATGACAGCTCTGACCCACAGCCAACAGATGAAGTTCCCACTTGCTGTTCCATTTCCCCCAAAGCTCAGCCCAGCACTCACCTGGGGGCTACCAGTCCCAAAGCCCAGTGTGGGTGTGGTGGGTACCGACATGGAGTGCGGGCCCATAGGGGAGCTGATGACAGAGAAGGGTGGGCCCATGCCATTGATGGGAGAGCTCAGGGTGCTGATAGGTGAGTGCAGTTGCCCGGGGGAGCCCAGTGGAGATCCGATTCCTGGACCCAAGGAGGGGTGCAGCGAGGGGGCAGCCATGGAGCCTCGACCCGTTGGAGAGCTGAGGGATGAAGAGTTCACCTGGGTGGAGAAGTCTGCAAAACAAGAATTGGCAAGAAGGAGGGTCAGAGCAGCCTCTAGGACCCATCCACTGCCCACTCCCACCCACTCAAGTCACAGGCAAACCTTCATGACCAAGGTCAGGCCAGGATGCCAGGACTCATCTCGCATACTCCAAGAGCTAGACCATCTCTGGAGGACCCCAGTACACACTCTCTGGGGTTCTCATAGCTGAGCAGACAGAGCCAGGCCCAGTACTGCAAGCTGAAGGCTCTGAAGTCTGTGACCCTGCCCTCTGGACCACATGACCTGAACTTCTGGGTACATAGCAAGGCAGCCCACTCCAGAGGAAAGAAAGGCACTGGCACTTCCCCCGTCGGTGAGGAGCTTCCAGGTGACCTTGAGGAGGGCCTGGGAGTGTGCCAAGCATGAGACTGGCAAGCCACAGAGCAGGGCTGGGTCTGGGACCTCCCACATGTCAACCTTTCATGCAAGGTTTCAAACATGTAAAAAGTCTTATTAATCAGGCCTTCCCAGCTCCAGAGGCCAGGGAGGTTCCGGGGTGTTGGACCTGCTGCCCACAGACCTGGAAGGCCGTGGAGAAGACAGTGAGGAGTCTTGCCTGCCTCTCCAAAGCTGATGCTCTGAGAAAGCCCCCATCCCCCTACCCTCCATCCTTTCCTCTCTCCCTCTCATCTGGAGAATAGTCCTGACCTTTCCTGCCACCTCGCTGCCATGGCATTTGCTTCTGATAAGACAAGAACAACTACGGGCATGTGAAGTGATGGGAAGTGAGTGACTAGCACACCCCAGGCAGGGGACACAGGCTGGTTACACTACTCAGCATCCTGGAAAGACCTCGCCATTCTGAGCCTACCTCATCCTGGTCATATCCTGGCACGTGAGCTTAGCAGGCAGAAGCCCAGAGCAGACACAGGAGGACACCACACATCTTAAGACAACACTGGCACTCTGGATGGGACTCTTAGACCAGACTTGACCTTGGCCAAAGCCCATACTCCTGTTCTGAACCTGATGAGCAGCACAGTACAGGGAGATCTCAGTAGCTGTACCAATGCCAGTTCCAAGCCAGGAGTGGTACAGAGGCCATGGCAGCAAGAACAGATCTTCAGAGAGAAACCTAACCAATATCCATCCCAAAGACTCTGGGGACTTCCTCCCTGTTTCCCCTCAAGAGGAGGATGCAGTAAGGAAGCCCCACTGTGACCAGGTCCACTATGGGGAGGCCAACCTGGCTACCATGACTACCCCAACTGACAGAAAGAACCAATTCCATCAGCAAATGAGCTTCATTTGATTTGCCAGAAACCCTGGCCATTCATAAAACTGAGAACAAACCAGTCTGCTGATTAACAACAAAAAGCCAATTTAAGAAATCTAAAACTAGCCGGGCAGTGGTGGTGGCCTTTAATCCCACCACTTGGGAGGCAGAGGCAGGTGGATCTCTATGAGTTCGAGGCCAGCCTGGTCTACAAGAGCTAGTTCCAGGACAGGCTCCAAAGCTACAGAGAAACCCTGTCTCAAAAATAAAAAAATCTAAAACTAACTGTGTAAGGTGGTAATGTCTTTAATTCCAGGACTAGGCAGGCACAGGCAGGAGGATCTCTGTGAGCTCAAGACAAGCCTGATCTACAAAGTGAGATCTTAAAACAAAGGGCTACAAAGTTTGTCTTAAAACAAAGGGCTAACGAGGCGGCTCAGTGCTACTACTCTTCCCAGCACCCACACGGTTTCAGGGAATCTGATGCGTTCCACTGGCCTCCACAGGGACCGCACGCACATAGTACACTTACACACATACGGGTATGTAGCACGATTAATAAAAACCCAGAGACAGAAATTGGGGTTCAACCTGAAGACCAGAAAAGCAAAGCAGCTGGCCACTGGCTCTTACCTCTACCTCCGTCCAAAAATGGTGATCCCGCCTCCAGGAATCCTCAGAATGAGACTGAGCCTGAAGCCTGCCTCCTCTTGCTTTATATTCCTCTCTAGTGCTGGGATTAAAGGTGTGCACCACTACCACCTGGTTTCTATTGCAAACTAATGTGGCTTCTGGAATTTAAGGTGTGTGTCACCACTGCCTGGTCTGTAAGGCTGATCAGTGCAGCTGTTTTACTCTCTGACCTTCAGGTAAGTTTTATTTATTAAAATACAAATGAACTATCACTACACAGGTAAAACATCCAATACACATAAATAAAAACAAAAGGAAAAAACGTTAATTCTAGAACCAAGAGGTGGTAGCACCTACTGGCCAAAACAGGAACTACAGACCAGCTCTATAGGCCACTAAACTACTTATGGAACTGGGGGGAGGAATCCACAGGGAAGGAGGTGAGAGACAGGAGAATGTGTCCAAAAGGAACAAATACAAATCCAATTGCTTACATGAACCTGGAATGCCTTTGTTCCTTTGACGTCAATTGAATTCTTGTGACCCTGTCAGAAAAGCCACCACCTCCAACCTACGACAGAAGAATCTGCTGAAAAGGTTCATGGATAAGAACTGCCCAAAGGCAAATTTAGCAATCTGCAGCTGCCCCTAGGCCAGGCAAACATAACCACTTCCACACTGCTGGGATACCTGGAGGCTATACTGGGCTGACCAATCACAACCCCGCCCTCCTCTCCGCCTCTAGATAAGGAAAGTGAGACAGCTCCTTCCCTGTGGCCTGCTTTGTCTTCTGAGGTCTGTGGACCCAGTGTACCAGCTAAGCCCTCATTGGATTCCTCTTTTAGCCCATTTGAGAGCTACATCTTGCTGAATTTGAGCACATCTACCTTCTGCAGGCATCCCAGAAGAAGACAGGATAATGGCATGGGCACCCAGGAGGGAGCTGGACTGGACCTAGAGAAGTCCCGCTTTTCCTGGCCTTTGAGAACAAGATGAGGGCATGACCAGAAGAGAAATCCCTCAGATTCCCCCAGGCTCTTTGCAACCCCACAGGAAGATTTGGGCAATAGGAGAGACACAAGGCCTAGGGGCGGCTTGTCACACTACCCTAAGCGTGGCTCTCATGGGCTGGCTGTCCCCAAACACCAGGAAAAACCAGCCATGTTCACTACATGAGAGTGTTTCTGCCCAGGAGAGTCAAGGAAGGATCCTTGCAGACACAGGGAACAGCTGGGGTAGGAGGCTTGGGCTGCAACCAGGTCTCTATAAAATGCCAGGGCCTGCACTGCTCCCCTCACTGTGGGCTTTGCTGTGGGCAGAACAAAGTTTCAGCAGGAAGAAGGGAATGAAGGAAGGAGGGAGACAGGGAGGCAGACTGTAAGGCTGCCAGCTACCGGCTGGACCCCAAGCTTCTCCGATCCTTCAAGGTACCGCCCATACCTGGCTCAAGTCAGAAACTGCCAAGGAGGGAAGCCACACCAACAGAGGAGAAAACCAGCCAAGGTGGCATATGAACAGACTTCAGGAAGAAGGGAAGACAGCAGCAGCAAGAGCCAAGTCTCCAGTCTGAGAATGTGGCTGTCCCTGTGAAGGTTCCCTTAGGCACCCTCCCCCAGTCCTCCACCCTGCCTGAAGCCTGATGGTAGGCGGCCAAGCAGACTCTAAGTCCCTACAGCTCCAGTGTAGAAGGGGCTGCCACCAGAGCAATGACTACCTTGGCAAGTCCCCACTGCCCCAGGCCCCCACCCCAGGCCTTCCTGTTTACAAAGAATATCCACTGCAGACACCTTCCAGGAGCCTGGGTGACAATGGGCTGGGTGTGTTTTCTGGGTCCTTCTACAAGGAGAAACTTTCTAACCAGGAAGAGAATGAGCAAGAAACGCCCTTTCGCCGGGCAGTGGTGGCGCACGCCTTTAATCCCAGCACTTGGGAGGCAGAGGCAGGTGGATCTCTGTGAGTTCGAGACCAGCCTGGTCTACAAGAGCTAGTTCCAGGACAGGCTCCAAAGCCACAGAGAAACCCTGTCTCAAAAAAAAAAAAAAAAAAAAAAAGAATGAGGAAAGGAAAGCCATCTTAAAAAAAAAAAAAAGAAACGCCCTTTCATCCTTGTATGTGTGCAAGCCATGTGCACGTACACCATGTATGTGTATGTATATCCGTGTATGCTATGTCATGCTCTGCTCTCTCGGGCACTTAGCTGTCACCACCCTGATAAGCCATGTCCCCTATAAGGCACAATTCCAGCAGCCTCCCTTTGGCTTTGCAGGGGTGCTAACACCAGCCAACACCACTGCTTAGGAAAATCTCCACATCTCTCCAGCATCAGAGCTTGTGGGGTGGGGCCTAGGGTTGCAATGTGTCAGCTTCAGACCTGGGGACTCCCTGCCCAAGAAGTCACAGACAAGATCAGGAACATGACTGAGAGGAAACTGAACCACAGAACCCCAAGACCTCAAATTCTGAGGCACAAAGATCCCAAACATAATCTCACATCCCAAGATACCTCTGTGGGACCACCACCAACATAGCCAGGGACCCGGGGGAAGGAGTGTGGCCAAGGAGCACGCATGTGCCTGAAGGACAGACACAGAGCAGGACGCCCATCTCAGCAGGGAAGATGCCCATCATCTCACACGCATCATGGGCAGCTGGCACTGCAGCCCAGGAAGGGGATGTGGAAGAAGGAGCACGCAGCACTCCCTGGGTACGAAACTGACCACAGTATGAATGTTCGGCAGTTTAAACACAGAGCAGAGATGGATTGTCCCCAGCCCAGATCCCAAGACAGTTCCTAGACCTCAGAGGGAGAGCACGAGAAGCTGGGTGACATTAATAAAGCTGAAATACTGAATGCCTGGCAACAGCTCTGGTGACTCCAAGATGCCAGGCTCTACTGAGGTCATAGGCAAGAGAGGAGTACCACTCCCACCAGAGTTCCTATGCCATATGGTGTCTACAGATGCCTGCCAACAGCAGGACCCCACAGCAGGAAGCACAGGGAACTCCCACCAACTCCCTTCAAGCCTCTGCTTGGCAGGCAGGGTGCAGGAAATGGCACTGCAGCTCACTGCAACTCACTACAGCTGGGGTGGGGTAAGCCCCACAGCCCTCCAAGGTAGC